CACAATAGAGAGAGGGAGAGAGAGAGAGAGAGAGAGAGAGAGAGAGAAAGAAGAGAGAAAAAGAGAGAAGAAGGGAGGAAAGAGACTGATGATGTTGCAACTAACATATTAATAATGATTTACAACTGGTTCTGCAAGCTAGAAAGATTCGTTTTCATACTAGTTCTTCTAGTCAGAGATGGTCTTGCTGGCGATGCTCTAACTTTTCTGAGGGAACAACTAAAGTTGGTTTTTGAAATTGCATATCGGAGTCGACTGAGGTCCTGCGATAATAAAGATCTTATGCTTCCTAGATTCAATTCGTTTCGTTTTGTATTTGGGAAGAGAAGATTTTCTGTTTTGTCTGCCAAAATCTGGAACTCGCTACCTTTAGATTTGAAAAAATTTAACAACATGAGCCAGCATCATTTGCTTTGACACTCTCGAGGGAAGCTGGCGCTTCTGAAGTTATTCCATAGGACACTCCACAAATTCTTAGATACAGATACAGATCATGTTTAGGATTATAACGATGATGATGACGACGACGATGGTGATCCCAAGAGGAACGTTATTAACTTACACCAAACTAACAACACTGATATTAAATTAAAACAGGGCATGTCTATATTAAATTGAAACAAAAGGTACTACGTAATGGCACCATTAAGGGACCCTTGAACATCAAAAGAAAAAAAATTAACTAATTATCGAATTTAAAACACGAATCTATATTCAAATCACGATTCTAAATTGGGTTTTTATTGATAGCTGTATGTATTGTTGTTGTGTTTGTATAAGTATTCTTGCATATGTTTCTGTACTTTTAAACTTTGTATTGTATGTACTTTTGTGTGACTTTTTGTATTTCCAGAGTTGTATGTCAAGGTATTTTTTGTATGCTTTCTTTTTCTATATGAGAATTTATTTTTCAGTTGTTGGTTTGTTCCTTTATTATAAATGGCTGTATTGTGTATATGTAAGTATTTTTATCTATGTATTGTGTGTATTTATGTATATATATGTGTGTGTGTGTTTATGCCATAAATAATTGCTTATGTGTCTGTGTGTATATATGTGTGTGTGTGTATGTGTGTGTGTGCGTGAGTGTGTGTGTTTATGTGTTTTGTTGTACATTCAAATCGAGTTTTTTTCCTCCATTTTTTTAATTTAAATAAAAAACTCCACACAGATCATTATAATTTATTTTCTCATAATTCTTCACAACTATCAAAAATTATTCTCAAAATTTATTTATTTACAATGATGACGACGACGACGATGATGAAGACGGTAGCCAATCAAATGAGAGTATCATATAGCGAGCTGGGAATACAATAGCGACACGAAAAAATAAGATTGTAAAATAAAAAAAAAATTCTTTAAAAAAAACTGAAAAGTTGGAAAGAATGAACACATGCACTGCACACACACGCACACACACGCACACACGCGCGCACACACACAAAAGATAATATTTATTTGATTCAATCAATCAAGAAGAACGAACGATGAACGAGCAAAGCGTTGATTCTATAGAGGTCTGTAAGCAGCACAAGTTAGATTTTAATAACATTATAATTGTTATCCATGACTAATTATAGTTAATAATAATTAAATATAAAATTAATAATAATTAAATATAAAATTTAACTGATTCATTCATATAGGTACAAATGCAACAAATCACAATAGGCAACTTTTGATAAATTGAAAGGAATAAATTGAAAGAGGCAGATACATTTAATTACATTTTAGTTAATTACTTACTTAATTAATTAATTAATTAACTGACTAACTAATCACTCAATTAATTGATTAATTGGTTGATTAAACTGGAATGTTTTAAAACAATAAGCTCTTGAAATAAATGCGTGCTATTTCTTGATGTATACAGAGTTCGTATTTTATAAGCATTCGATAGGAAGAAAATATTTTCTGCTGGTTGGCTTTTTTAAAGTTCTAACTCATTTTTACTTTTTACTTGACAAATTAAATATGAAATCTACAAATTATCAATTAAACAATTAATTAAACAATTAATTAGTTATTAAATTAATTAATTAACTAATTAATTAATATGACACTAAACTAGTTTGGAATAAACGGTGGATTGAATTTTAATGTTCATCAGAGGATCCATTTTCCCCAGCAGTGTTCACGGAATCGATGCCCACTTCTTCGTAATCCTTCTCGAGGGCGGCCAAATCTTCCCTGGCCTCTGCAAACTCGCCCTCTTCCATCCCCTCTCCAACGTACCAGTGTACGAAGGCCCGTTTCGAAAAGAGCAGATCGAATTTGTGGTCCAACCTGGCCCAGGCCTCTGCAACCGCTGTCGTGTTGCTCAACATGCAGACGGCTCTCTCCACTTTGGCCAGGTCCCCACCCGGGATGACCGTTGGGGGCCTGTAGTTGATGCCCACCTTGAATCCAGTGGGGCACCAATCCACGAAGTGGATGTTTTTTTTGGTTTTGATAGTGGCGATGGCGTTGTTGACATCCTTAGGGACCACGTCCCCCCTGTACAAGAGGCAGCAAGCCATGTACTTACCGTTCCTGGGGTCGCATTTCACCATCTGGTTTTGAGGCTCGAAGCAGGCAGCAGTCATTTCTTGCACGGTGTTCTGTTCGTGGAAGGCCTTGGCAGCCGACAGGACAGGAGCGTACGTCGTCAGAGGGAAGTGGATGCGCGGGTAGGGGACCAAATTCGTCTGAAATTCAGTTAGGTCGACGTTCAACGCCCCGTCGAACCTCAGCGAGGCGGTGATTGAACTGACAACCTGAGCTATGAGTCTGTTTAAATTGCTGTAGGTTGGCCTCTCGATGTCCAGATTTCGGCAGCAGATGTCGAAGATTGCCTCGTTGTCGACCATGAAAGAGCAGTCGGAGTGCTCGAGGGTGGTGTGCGTGGTGAGGATGGAGTTGTAGGGCTCGACCACGGCAGTCGACACCCTTGGAGCCGGGTACACCGAGAACTCCAATTTCGATTTCTTGGCGTACTCCACGCTGAGTCTCTCCATTAGGAGGGAGGTGAACCCTGACCCTGTACCACCCCCGAAACTGTGGAAAACCAGGAAGCCCTGCAAGCCTGGCGGAGGGATTTGAGTTTTTTGATCTTCATTTGATACTTGCTTGTTGCGAATTTAATTTTCACTCGGTAGGTTGGTGTGTGTCAGTTCAATGAATCGTATTTCTGATTTAGATGTTTCTTATTTAAAATTATCATTGAAAATAAAATAAACACACACACAAGCACGCACACACAAACACACAGACAAACACATAAACACACAAAACAAACAGTCACACAAACAAACACACAGACACACACACACAAATACACAGGCAGACACAAACAAACACACAGACAGACACAAACAAACACAAACAGACACAAACACACAGACAGATCCTTGACTTAACCAGTGCAGTGCTCGGCCAACTTCCTGATCCTCTCCAGTACCAGATCGATCAGCTCCTTTCCTACGCTGTAGTGCCCTCTGGCGTAGTTATTCGCAGCATCTTCCTTTCCATTTATCATCTGCTCAGGGTGGAAGAGGTTCTTGTAGGTTCCAGATCGGATTTCATCTGATGGGTGGAAATAAACGAGAGAAAGAGAGAGATGAGAGAGTGAGTGAGAGAGAGAGAGAGAGAGAGAGAGAGAGTAAGAGAGAGAGAAAGAAAGAGAGAGAGATGAGAGAGAGAGAGAGAGAGGATGAGTGAGTGGGTGAGAGTGTTGTGAGAGATAATTGTTAGTTTTGGTTTGCTTCTTGATGACTGGCAAGATGGTTTTGTGTTTATTATTAATTGGTTTATTGAAATTGTTTTACATGTTTCCAAAAAAATTAAAGTAATTAACCTGTTTTTAACAAGTTTTCTTCTAGGAATCAATCAATTTGAAGTATTTGTAATAAATTTTGCATATAATCGATCGAATAGATAGACGACAAAAAAAATCTAACAGCACACACGGACACACACACTCACACACACACTTACACAGACACACGCATACACATACATGCACAAACACACAGACAAACACACACACACAAACACACATACAAATACATATATACACACACAAACTAGTCTTCCTCACCGATGACGGTTGGCTCCAAATCGACAAAAACTGCTCTGGGAACATGCTTTCCAGCTCCGGTTTCGTTAAAGAAAGTGGAAAAGGAATCGAATCCCTGCCTCTGATCCGAGGTCATCTGGCCGTCCGGATTGATCCCGTGCTCCAGGCAGTACAACTCCCAACAGGCGTTTCCGATCTGAACCCCGGCCTGGCCCAAGTGCACACTGATGCACTCTCTCTGAGTCAATTGATTGATTGATTGAACGTGAGGAAGTGAGAGAGTGAGTGTGTGAGTGAGTGAGTGAATGAGTGAGTGAGTGAGTGAGTGAGTGAGTGAGTGAATAAATGAGTGAGTGAATGAATAAATGAATAAACGAATGAATGAATGAGTGAATATGCGAGATGAGATAAATTGAAATAGAGAGAAGGAAGAAAGTGAAAGAAAACAGAAAAAACAGAAAAACAAAGTTAAAATGAAAGAAAGAAGAATGAAGAGAGAAATAGTCAGAGAAGAAGAGAGCGAAATAAAGGGAGAGAGAGAGAGAGAGAGAGAGAGTGTGTGTGCAGTGTGTTTGCAAGGTTTTATGTTGATGATGCAGTAGGGAAGATTTGGAACCGATCAATATCTCTCTCTCTCTCTCTCTCTCTCTCCGCGCTCATATGGATGCTGCCTTCTTTCGTTCATTTTTTCATTCGTTCATACATTCATTGAGTTTGTCTGTCTGTCTCTCTGCTGTCTGTCTGTTTGTTTGTCAATCATTCATTTGCTCGTTTCATTCTATTCAATCATTCGCTTGAATATTTTGTATTCGGTCTTAGGTGTACATTTATTCACTCAATTATTCATTCATTCATCCATTTTTCCATCCCCCATTCATTTATGCATTCTTTCATTCGTTCATTTGACCATCATTTTGTTTGATAGTTAAAAATTGTTTCTCCAATTACACATTCTTTCGTTAAAAAAAAATATATCCGTTGTAAGCTCATTTATTTGTTCATTCATTCGTTCATTCATTATTCAATTAATTGATTCATCCATTAATTTACTCATTCATTCATTTAACCATTCATTATTTGTTTGTCTGTTTCTTTCATACAAGTATCCAGACATAAAAACAAACACCCAGACATACAAACAAACACACAGACATACAAGTAAACACAAACACACTGACGTACCGACATACAAACAGATACAAACACACATACATACCGCGTTTGTCCTTCTAGCGGCTCTATCCATAATTATAATTGATAATAATTAATTAAAAATTTAGTTGAAGGAAATGGACAATTATTAATAATAATAGAACAGTTATTATTGTTTTTATTGTGGTTGCTATTATTATTATTATATTTATTTTTACTATAGTTTTATAATAAAAAATTGTAATTATTCGATATTAATAATTATGATATTTAATTATAAAATAATTTCTATCTTGAAATTTGTCCTGGAGTAAATCACACACACATATATATACAAACTAGACGTCCGTACATTCATCCATGCAGCTTGCATTAAGCAATGCTTTTCCATGTATGTATGTTTGTATATATGTATGTATGTATGTATGTATGTATGTATGTATGTATGTATGTATGTATGTATGTATGTATGTATGTATGTATGTATGTATGTATGTATGTATGTATGTATGTATGTATGTATGTATGTATGTATGTATGTATGTATGTATGTATGTATGTATGTATGTATGTATGTATGTATGTATGTATGTATGTATGTATGTATGTATGTATGTATGTATGTATGTATGTATGTATGTACGGTCTTTTTGGAAGATGCATAGTCTGGTATAATACCTAATCTATGATATCATAGCTTAGTCGAGTTTATCAAAAAGGAATTAGTGAAGGAATGTTAGTGGGGTTAATGACGATGATGGCAAATAATGATGATAATGAGATCAATATAGATACATTTCTAAAGATAATAAGCATGTAGATGTACAATAGACTGATGATGGTTAAGTCAATTCTATCAATAGAGATAGTAAATAATTTTCAAAATCTTAATTTCAGATGAAAAACAATACAACTCATCCCTTCAATTTAAGTCTAAGAACTGAGTTCTACCAAATTTTACAAATGGTATCGCTCATATATGTATCTATGTAGTTATGTCTCTATTTGACAGTTTGCATGTAGACAACATTTGCATGTTTGGGGCTTTGTGGAAGATGCATCATAGGCTGGTATAATACCTAATCTATGGTATTGAACGGTATTATAGCTTAATCGAGTTGTTTTGGGCTAGCGAATATATCATTGAGAAAGTTTTTTAAACTAAATAAACGAATGGAAAACTACAGAATAATAAAAATGTAAATGTTAACAACAAAGAAAAATAATAATAACAAATTCTACTACTACTACTGATGCTGAAGTGGTTGCTTCTTATGCTACACCATTTTTACTGCCGCTGCTACTACTACTCTTGTTGATACTACTACTACTACTCTTGCTACTACTACTACTGCTACTACTACTACTACTTGTACTACTACTACTACTACTAGTACTACTACTACTACTACCACTACTACTATTAGTATTACAATTAATAATAATAATAATACATGACAACAACAACAACGCAGCAACAACAACAACAACACAACTGCAACAACAACAAAAATGTTTATCAAAATTTTATTTTTCAATCCCCGCATTGATGATGAAATAATCAATTCGAAAAGAGAGATTTTTGTCTTAATATAAAATCTATAATACTCACTCATACACACACACATACATAAAAACATACATACATACATACATACATACATACATACATACATACATACATACATGCATACATACATACATACATACATACATACATACATGCATACATACATACATACATACATACATACATACATACATACATACATACATACATACATACATACATACATACATACATACATACATACATACATACATACATACATACAAACATATACACATATTTATTTTATTTATATTTTATTGAGAACGTATCAGCGAGATTCTTCTATAAAACTGAAATGGACTGTCTTGATGATTATATATAGATCAAGTTATAATTTTGAGAATTTTGAAATTATTTTTGCTGATCGAAAGAAAGAGGGGAAGTGTAAAATAAGGAAAAAAGAAGAAGATGATGATGAGGATGACTAGATTAATGTTGGCGACGATGATGATGATGGTGATGGTGGTGTTGGTTTCTGGAGCACCTCCGGCAATGAAACCAGAGTCGAGTATGTATTTGTTAACTCGTTCTTTCAATCGTTTAACAATTCACTAGTTCGTTCATTCGTTCGTTTGTTAGTTCGTGTTTTGTTCATTTATTTATTTATTTATTAGCTAATTCATTCATTTATCCATCCATCCATTAACTGATTAATTATTTCATTCATTAATTCACT